TGATGACAAAATACTAATCTGAGACCCCTAGCCGGCCTGGGTGTTACTTCCTGTAATGGCCTGTACAGGAAGGCTCAGCTCAGCTTTTTCTCACGTAATCATCTCTCAAGGGTATTTACAGAACTTTACTGACCTTTTGCTCTGAATTTTCAACTTTTTCAGCTTGGCTCTGAAGATGCTTGGCTTTGTCCAAGATGCAAAAAACTCCAGCAAGGAACAGTGAAGAAACTGAGCCTATGGACTCTGCCAGAGGTGCTGGTAGTTCATCTAAAGAGATTCAGGCAGGTCAGTATTATAGTAGTATAGTATTTTTTTTTTGTTACACAACATCAGCTTCTCTTTTATTATTTTTTTTCTCTTAAGAAAATTACACAGTGTTTTAAAAGTGGTCAGAGATGTTTTTAACTCCCATCAGTCAAAATGAGCCAACAGCTGGCAATTTTGCTGCTTTTGGTGGAAGATTTGCCACGTACTCAACATGAGGCCTTTGCCACCTGCTACTCTGATTGTCAAGTGCACTATTGTAAATCATTTGCCCCATATGTTTTACCACCATAAAAAGAAGGGGGATAGGAATATTATTTTCAGAGCAGCTTTCAGATTGGAGAGAAGGAATTTTTAGCAAAAGAAATAGTAAAATGAAGAGTTTTTTCACAGATTGCATTATAGAGTTACTTTGCAAAAGAAAGAACGAAGAAAGAGGTTCAGGCACTAGTTCTGTCAGTTTAGGACTGATCCAGTATGTCAGAACTCCTCTCTCCACCACCAAAAGATGTAAAAAAGAAAAATCTGTGACGGTTAAATGAGTGTGCTAGTCAGCAATGACAACTGCAGTGTACTCATTAACACTTGCCATTCCCCCATGCAGACATCGGCAGGTCGCACCAAGCTCCACACCTTGGTAGACTTCCCACTGACTAACTTGGATATGAAGACACATTTAGAACCCCGCATCAAAAGATCATCCCCAGAGACACACTCCTTAGGGTGGGGTACATGGAGGCGTCATCGCGTCCCTTCTGTAATCGGATCAGATGAAGAACACCTTTATGACTTGTATGCTGTATGTAACCATACTGGTGGAATGTCTGGTGGTCATTACACAGCGTACTGTAAGAATCCTGTTGATGGCACATGGTGGTTGTTTGATGACATGCGTGTCGAGAAGATAAATGAGAATCAGATTATCACCAAGGCTGCTTATCTTTTGTTTTACGCCCGACGTAATGTTGGCTCCTCATCAGCTTCGGAATCTTCTTCAGGATCCGATCATTGGACAAGGAGGATGCCGCAATTTTCATTTGAATCTGTGTTAAGATCGCGTGATGAACTTACTTCTAATAAAGAAAATGCAAATGGTAAGCTTAAGGCCTGTTTTTTCCCGAGGCACAATAGTAGGTCTAGTTGATTTTCTTGTAGTGTTTAGGTTTTGTTTGAGCTAATTCTATACCCTTCTAACCGACCAGTTTTGTGGTTAATGCTTAGGAAATGATGGTTAACTCAAACCATTGGCATGTTTTCCTTTTTTATGCCAAAGGTCTCTCAGGATCTGTATATGCATGTTGATGCTGGCTCATCCCCAACACTCTATCATGTAATTATTGTACTTGCAGTCGCAAAAAGGTCTTGTAAGCGATCGATCCTGTGAGCAACCACAACCACTTTGTTTTTAAACTCTCATAAGGGACCAATCAGAGTCCTTTTCATCTAAATCAACACTTTAATGAAACTACACACTGAGCTGATAGTTCGTTGATAAAGATCTTGTACAGTGCAGTATTGAATTTGTAAAAGTTCATGGCCCTTTCCGTAGCGTTCACTTAGCCTGCATGGCAATGACCACAGAGCCTAACGTCAACATGAACACTTAGTGACTCTGAATTATTCATGAGTTTCTGAAGCTTTTGTAATCCACCACACCTTATTGTCTTACCATACGGTACATTCTTGTAAGCAACCAGCTCTAGTTACAACCACTTTTTTTAATTTCCAAGGTGTTCACTTGTGAGAGCTTGAACTGTATTCTCCTCTCAGACTAAGTTTTAAGATTGAATTATCTAAAATAGAAATAAGAAAATATTTCTCTTGTATTTTCTACTCAGTTTTATCATATGAGGCTATATTATTCTTGTATCAGTGCACCCATGTTGTGGTTCCATATTTTATTCTTGCTTGTAATTCCTTAGTCTCAAATATGTTACCTTAATCTGAGATAAAGAAAATAAAGAATTGAATAAGGGTGAAAATATTATATTAAGAATTTGCTCTAGTATGATGTCTCTCCTAAGATAGATCATTTATGACATAAATACCCCTCTAACCGCCCAAAAAACTTTTTATCCAGAAAATTATATTCCACCAATGTTTTAAACATTGTAAAGTCTTGACAGTGAACCATTTTAAGGTCTGAGAGAAGGCTGTAATTGTTTATTTGTCTACTTTATCCTTTGATTAATTATTTGCAAACACCACTTTCCTGTAATTGCAGGTAGAACCACAACTCCATCAAGCAATGACTATCCACAAAACCATGTGAACAATACAGCCAATAACAAATGGAACAGCAGAGAAAACATCATGACTGAATCATGTGTGTAACTTATCACTTACAGTAACCCTTGTTCGTACGTAATCTGGAAATGTTGGC